TTTTTGAGAATCTTTGTGATTAATGTATTATCATTATTGGAAGGTGTATGTACATTTACATGAAGTTTTCCTAGGTATACTCGTAGTCATGGGTCTGATGCATGTGTGTGTAACTAATAGTATACTTATGTGGTTTTCTCAAGTAAATGTATGTGTACTGTGCCATGGTCCTTTTTACACAGCCTTTGTTTGATGCATTGCATTGTATAGCTAGAACTGTAAATACACTCATGTTGCTACATTATCTGATTTGTATAGCTCCACTTTAATTAATGCATGAGCTTAATTCATAACCCATTGATAGAGCCTTTGTTTGATGTGAATTAGCATTATTTGAACATTCAATCTTCCTAATTCTATTTAATTTATTCTAATTATTGCATTTTTGTATAATAATTACTATGCATTACATAATCGCATACATTAACTAATATTATGCATTAAAGACTCCATATGTAACTTATTTTCTTTGATCACGATACATCATTATACTTTCCCACTCTATCTCTTCAATTTTAATTGTGTTTGTCTGATTTGTGTATTAGTAGCTTTGTCATTCTACTTTCATTAATGCTTGTAATGTATCCCATTTACACAGCCTTTGTTTGATGCATTGTACTTGTGTATAGCTGGAACTACAGATATGTCTGATTTGTGGAAAGCTTTAGCTGGAACTGCAGAGGTATCTGATTTGTGTAAGCTTTACATTTGTACTTTGTGTTATTCGAAGCTAAAGTAAATCTATATAAAATATCACACAAAAAGCTTTGTAGCCATATATAATACTCCTAATATTAGAATAGACTTTCATCAGTGAAGATATAGTTTTGTATGGTATTCTGACCAGCTCATATTGTTTCTGTTACAATATACTGGTCACACTGTATTTTTGTATAATAAATTTTATTGTGTTTGTATATGCATCACATAATGTTTGTCTGATTTGTGCATTAGTAGAATTAGTAGCTTTGCCATTCCACTTTCATGCTTGTATTGTATCCCATTTACACAGCCTTTGTTTGATGCATTGTACTTGTGTATGGCTGGAACTGCAGATATGTCTGATTTGTGGAAAGCTTTAGCTGGAACTGCAGAGGTATCTGATTTGTGTAAGCTTTACATTTGTGACCATAATTGACAAAAGGGACCTTATGGCGGGTAGTGAAATTTGTCTTTCTAGCCTAAGAAATCCAACTTCCTGAGCCCCATTTATCATAAAATTACTCCACAGGATGCAAAAAGTTATTATGAAACTTTTAGAAACAATGATTGTCTAACAAAGCACTCACAGGTTGATATTTTCCATTATAACGATCTATTTTAAAATCCGCCATAAGGGCCCTTTTGTCAATTATGGTCACATTTGTACTTTGTGTTATTTAAGGCTAAAGTAAATCCTACAATATCACACAATGAGCTACTTTCCAACTATGTCAGCTTGGGGGCAAAATGTGTTTATTTTTATTAATGTTTGTGTCATATGCTTTAAACATGTTATTTGTAATACATGTAATTAAGAGCCATATTTATTTTTATTGTAAATATTTATTCCTTAATATACAATACAAGCATGATTAATTACATAATATTATTATTAAATGACAAAAGGAGAGGGCATAGTTGTAGAAAGAGGCCCCGTGCATTAGTATCCAGTTGGTCCTCCATTTTGCTTAATGATTTCAGGAATGACTTTGTTTAGGTGGCCAATATATTTCCTGCATTTTGCCACATCTACTGTGTCCCAAAAGCTCAGTATACCAGAAACCAACTCTTGCTTAGTCTTTGGTTTGGTAACACGCCTGATATATTCCTTGAGTTCATGCCACAAGTTTTCAATCGGATTGATGTCTGGCGATTCTGCTGGAGTTTTCCACCAGTTGATGTTATTCCTTTCTAACCATTCTCCTACTCTACGTGAAGCATGCTTAGGGTCATTGTCTTGCATGAAACGAATATCTCTATTATCATTAATGAAAGGGAGTAAACCAGCTTCAAAGACCTCAATCAATCCTGCTCCATTCATTAGCCCATCAAAAATCACAATCTTTGTTTTTCCACGACAAGAGATGCCTGCCCAGACATGAACTTTACAAGGGTGTTTTGCTCTGCAATAATAATGAATAATAACATATATGTACATGCATAATAATTACCTTGGTTTTGGTTTTGCTGGTGCACCTTTCTTACGGCAGCAAAATCTTTTATGACTCTCTAGTTGAATACTGGACTCATCTGTCCACAAGACATCTTCAAATTGATTATCATTGTACTCCTCTAGATGGTCCATTGCCCACTGAAGGCGTTTAGTCTTGTTTGTGTCTCTGATAATTTGGCAATAGGCACTTCCTCGAAAAGTCCATCCCAATGTTTCACGTGATTTCAGAATTGTTTTAAGTGATAGTGGCTCTCCTTTATCAACAAGTATCTTTTGAAGCTGAACTGCTGTAGTCTCATCATCTTTTTGCATTTGCTCTTCAACGATCTGTAACACAGCTCTAGTAATCTTGGTGGGACGGCCAGAACCTATGTTTAATGTACATGTATTATAATTATAA